TCTTGGTAACGGAAAACAATTTGTTTAATGACCACAGCATCTTAAACATAGCATTACAAACCCCTGTGCCATGGTAATGAAAGAGTGACTGCACCAATCTTTGTAAAGTTGTCAGAGATTCATAATATATATTTGTATTTGTTTTATATTGCTATTATTATTATTACATGTCATTTCGCTATAGTTAATTCGTTTACCTTTCGCATGAAGGATTCCTCCGAGTAATTCTCGACCAATTAGAATCATTTAATTTCAGCCAATCATTTTACTCTGTATTGTATCTTTTTCTCCGGCGTACTTACATTTGTATTTCCCGCTGACGTGTTTTCTCTCACGTTCGATACGCACCTATATAAAGGGCTAGTTTCAGAGTTTCGGGGCTCCTTATTCATGTGTTACATGTTTCTATGCCGGTTTATCCAGCAATAAACCTTACCGTGTTTTGCATCCACATTGACTGTTTATTCTGCCATCAAGTTCAACTGAAGCGTATTATTATACCCCACATAATTTGCAATAATTTTACGCGGTTAATGAGCGTGGGTTGAGTAACCAGGCTTCGTTAATACAGACTAGGCTTAAAGATAAAATTTATTTTCAAATGCCGCATGAAAACAAAAGTTTCACATTTCTCATACCGAACCACAGAGGGCGCTATATAAATGAAATGCTGTGAGAAAGTTGGCTTTATTACTTCGAATTCATTCACACAGATTCTCTTGCAAAAGTTTACTTTCTAAAAAGAGTGTTTAAATATTATGTACATGGTCTGATTGTATGTTCACATAGATGATTACATAATAAGGAAAATTATAAAAACAATAATCTCTCTGTACAAGACTGGAAGAAATCAGAATAAAGTTAGAATTAATATAAGTTGACTATATTTCAATTATTAATTGTTCAAGTTACAATACATCTTGTAAAAAAAAAAAGTTAATGATATGATGATTTGAAGTAGCATTCAAAAAAACAAACAAAAAAACATCTCTAATTTTGGCACAGTTTTGAAATCTATACATACCAGGGATTAGTGCAAGTTTTAATGGTAAAGTTTTACAAAAACATAAATATGATCTATTGAAACTACGTACAGTTCATTCTGAAATGGATTAGGTAGTGCATGATGTACCAACTGAAATTAATAGAAAAAATAATTACACTGATAGTTCATGATTTCTGTCAATCTGATGACCAATTAAAATTATGTATGCAAATCATGTTCAGGTCTTGTAGGATCAGCAACCAATAAGAACTTGCGTTACAGACTGCACTCTAGTGAGGTGTTCTCTAATTGGTTGATAGATGTAGTGAGAGGTCATGTACACATGCAGGTGTTTATTGAAAGAAACATCTTCCCTTATATCTAATTGAATTGGTGTACACAACTTTAAAACAAAAATTAAAATCACATTTAGTGAATTTAACATCAAAACACGTTAATTTGTATTAGTTCACGCTGATTAACAATGGAATACACTCTTTTAAATTTGCCAATAAAAAATTACATTTCAATAAAAGCAGTTTTATTTTAACGATTGTAACTAGTATCACATTCAAAATCATAAAAGCCACTAAAATCACTATATTTGTGTTTTGAAATCAGCCACATGTATTATGATTTCCGTCAATCATCTTAAAACAGGTGTAAATAAGTAATTATGAAAAGTATATAATTGTTGATATTGAATTACTAGTACCTTCCATAATTTTTTTTGTGTTGATTTTAGAAGAAAAGAAAGCTTTGATCATAAAATCCAAAAGAGGAGTGTCTCCTTCACAATAAAACACATAAACAAGTAATTTTTCACCAGGCACCAGTGCCGATTTTTATAATAAAAATAATCAATTTGTGATGAACCATTATTAAAATTGCACAAAAAAATATTATCAATAGTATTATTTACATTTAGCCATTGTACTCTGATTGGAAGTTATTATACAAAACGCTGTGAATGATGAGTTGAAAAAGATGGTCGCTATATGATATGTCACACAGTGTTAGTAATATATACAGCAGGTTAATTGTATGTACACCCTGTCTCATTCTACAAAAAAAAAACATTTTTCAGGCACGATGACCCACTTAATATGCAGTTACCAAGATGAGACAACAGGTGGTCTTGGCATGGGTGGCTGGAAAGTCACGCGATGCTGAGAACTTATTTTGTTCACTGTTGAATACTTCTGTTGATGTGGCGACATGAATGGACTGAGTTGCGTACTTTTTGAACCATTGTTCTGTGTAAAAAAAAAAATCAAAAAAAAAAAATCTGATATATGTCTTGTATATATATAATATTCCACATTATTTATTAGGTTTCAAGTCCAAAGTAGTAGAATTACCGTACTAGTGTTCACACACTAATGCCCATTTGTTTAACATTTACCCACATTGCTAAACCTTACTCTGACGAACATTTTGAATTGGAAAAATTGATCAAAATGAGGTTCATCATAATTCAAAGTCAAGTTTAGATACTTCAATTCGTTTTTGCTTTAGCATTTCAAACAACTAATGCAGTCACAGGGAATAACATTCCTGTGTTGAATGAGGTTATCCATTTCAAGGAGAGACCCACATAGTCACAGCTCAACAAAGTGGATAAACTGGAATCTTATTCAAGACCCACAATTTTGTTCCTGCTGTAAATGAAGTAATTTACATATTTTGAGCTTATGAGATAATTTAAGACTATCCGTCAATGTAGCAGAACTCTTAATGCTATCCCAATTAATTACCGATATAACCCAAATCACCAAGAAATAAACACACACTTGTTTCCCCACACATTTACAATGTACTGAAATTGAGGACAGACACCACAGTATATGATGTCACCCACAAACCATCACCACATTTATTTAATATAACATTCAAAGCCCTTCTAGTTATCAACCCTTGAATCTTGAAACAATATTCATTGCCACCATGAAACACGCATGTAGTTAGAGGGTAAATTGATGTAGACACACGGACACATACATGGAGGAGATAACTACCAAACAAACGAATGTAAACATACCTCACCACTTTCATTTAATAAAAAAAATGTGAAAACAAAAAAAACATAAGTTTGAGATATAGGCATGTGAGGTAGTGAGACAGGAATGGGGAGCTACTAAAGGTGCGGGGCAGGGGAACTTTTATCAAAATAGGTGTTCAGTTATGTTTCCGTGATATATTGTAGCAGAATATTACATTTTGAAAACATACATTAGGCCAAAACAATGTTTTTTGAACAATTGAAAAATTATGCGGTTTTAACTTTTGGTTTTTGTATTAAGATTATTTAATATAACAAAAGTATGTTATATGTTCAACTTTTTTTGAATAATGCTTTGGAATACAAAGCTTCACTTGGATAAAAAAAATCTTCAAAACAGAAAATAAACATTTTCCCATTCTTTTGTATGTGTTGCACTTTAGCAGGATACAAAATTGTGCAGGTGCAGGTTTGAAACTGACGTGCTATCACAAGAGACAAAACCTTTTTTTGCCTTCACTAATTCAGACAGTGCTTTAATAACTAATGTGTGCAGAGGTATGTAGGAAGACTTTCGGTCAAAGTTTTATTTATTACCGGTATATATATTGTATTGTACTACAAATGTATTGTGTGTGATAACTACAATTAGCTATCCTAAAAATAACATTCTAGTTTTACTGACACTTACACATGTCAACATATACATTGTAACTTGTAAAAAAAAAGTGGTATACTAATAAAGCGGATTTTTACTGGGAGAAATTTATATATTTGATTTATTTTGAGCCAATTATGGCATTTTGTACTTACTGCTTTCATAGCTGATGATGATCTGAGTGGAGCGGATCCAAGTCTCGTACCTCCTGCTCCTGCACCAGCATACAAGTCACCTAAAACAGGGATATCACAAAATTTAGTATGATTTGTAAAAATGAAAATTTGTAATCCCTTTTTTGACAAAAATCATGAAAATGAAATAAATTATGATAAATAATGTCTTCACTCTAATGCAACCAGCCTACATTGCTAGATGTATGCTTTTATTGGTAGGGAGTAGAATATATTGAAAAATGAATAAATTCTGAGTATTCGTGAGTACCGGGTAGGCTTCTACAATGCTTCTTAAGAATGGAAGCAGCTAATATGAATGGGAAAATTTTAAAACTTGAATGGTACCATCAAATGAATGACAAAAGAGTGAATAAAACGTGTCAGTTGTGACCATCCTTAAAAGCAAACAGTAACTCATCCACATTTACTTATTGTTTTTATCAGAAAAATTCCGACGACAATGTACCTGGATGTGGCATCCTGTCTGGCACGGGATTAGAGTTCTGGCTCCTGGTTTGTCGACAATAACTACTGTTATCATTACCACCGGCCTTTACTCTTGGTGCCCCCATAGATGGGTGTGGGTCGTCCCCAGTGAATAGACCATGGGGGTGCTTAGCAGGAGATAATAGGGGCTGTTCTTCTTTCTCACTGTCAACAAATTAGAATGAAGAGTAATACTATGAATTACATGTAGTAATCTTAATGCAAGTTTTAGTCATATGATTTATCAATTAAGTCACATGACACAACACATGACATTACAAAGCCATGTCATGTGACACACCAAATCACTAGAAATCAAAGGACAATTTTAAATAAACCGACTCACACTTTCAATGCGGTGACAGGTTTTCCATCGACTTCTACTGTAAACTCAGGGCTTGGATTGCTTTCCCCTTTGTCTGCATCGCTGCTATTATCACTTACTGCATCAAAGGAAATGGCATTCCTGGTGAACCGATGGGCTGCAGTAGTCCATGCAATAGCCTGGTGAGATCGAAAAAAAAAAAAAACACCATGAAAAATAACAATTAACATTTAATTAACATTTTAATCAAGATGTTCTTACACATTACTAACAAATATAGTCAATTAATGTGTTCACCTACCTGTCCTGTAGGTTTACATAGAATAGTAGTACATTCAGGACCCACACCCCACTTATGTTGCTCTTTCCACAGGAAATCTGTTGGTGGACTGTGTTTACCTTGACCTGATGCTGCCCACACCTATGAATGAATAAATACATTTTTTTGATCTATTAAATATCTTGTAATCCGAGTTTATCAGTAAAATAATCTGGTATAGGGATCAATGTTACTCTAGACTGTCAATGGGTCCCTTCATTATATAAATCAATATTACAATGTCATTGAGTGCTTTCATCTATTGTATCAATGCTACATTGAAATGTCATGGAGTGCCTCTACTTAAAAGATTACTGTTACATTAGACTGTCATAGAATGACTACAAGTAATGGATCAATGTTACACTGATTTGTCATTTAATCAATCAATGTTACACTAGATTATCATGGAGTCCATTCATATATGGTTCAATGTTAAAGAGACTAGCACTTATAAAATGCTTTCATTTAATGCATCAATTTCACACTAGACTCGTGGAGTGCCTCTATTAATGATTCAATGTTATACTAGACTGAAATGTTCTTCAATGAAATGAAACAATGTTAAAGTGATCTGTCACTGAATGTCTCCAAATAAGGGACAAATGTTTAACAATTAAATGTTGAAGTAGATTAGTGAAATGTCTCCATTACATAGTAAATCATTTTAATCAAATACTAAACTAGCCTGGCTCATCATGCCCAATAAAAGGATTGAGTTACAATAGACTGTCACAGAGTGGCTTCATATAATACATCTATTGCACATTATTCAATTTATACTACACTGCTTTAATTTAATAAGTCAATGTTATAATCCCTTCATTTTATGGATCAATGTTAAATTGGACTGTCATGGAATATCCCCATTTAATAGATCCATAATCACATTTACAATACACTGTCAAAGAATACGTACTGTTATCGTGGAGCCTGCCCTGAAACGTGTCCTGGGTGGGAATCTGTAGACCGCTACTGGATGGCCTCCGACGTTTTGCTGAATCATGAATCCTCCAAACTCCATGTCCTGATTCGGGGACGAATTGAACAGACGAACAAATCGACCATCTTGGTTGATTTCCAGTATTTTAATAGTGCCAGTGAAACTGAGGGTAAACAAACACAGAGGATGCGAGTGGGTATGAATAACAGAAGAGCAAAGTTTTGTAAAATTGTGAAAGATTATATAAAAAGTACATCCAGAATTTCCATAGAAAGGAAAGAAAAAAAGTTGGTTCAAGTCAACATAATTTCAATTATCATTTGTCTGAAAATGAAAAAGTCCAAGAGTGAAAGTACCGGTAACACTAAAGAGGTTAGCAATGGTGAAAGCTGGTTAGTACTGGTTATAGTTGATTACCACTGGGAACTGCTGGTTGAACTGATGACAGCTGGTTAGTACATGTTATAGTTAGTTAGCACTGGTGACTGCTGGTTAGTACTGGTGACAGCTGGTTAGTACTGGTGACAGCTGGTTAGTACTGGTGACAGCTGGTTAGTATTGGTGAAGAATGTGCTGTATATGCAATATGTGTGTATTGCAATGATGATGAATAATGAATAGAATATCAAATTGGCCGAAATTATAGAGCAGATAATAGACTGTATGCATAATAGACACACACACACGTTGCGATTATGGAAATCTTTATTAAAACACTCAACACATGAAATTTACAATGACATTAATTAAGCTTACTGTACATGATTATATGACAATTTATTAAGTTAGTATGTATTTTTTTTAAATTTCATTTTCAGAAATGTAGTTGGTGCTGTGCAAGTGTGGTGTGAGTGAAATGTACCCTGTATGCAGGAAATGAGATTATCAATATCAAACAGCAGTATTTTGTGTCTTGTTTCATCAGATATGACAACTTCCTACATAAAAATTCTATTAGAAAAACCAACCAACAAATTTTACAAACATGTAGAAATTTAAAAATCCTGCTAGTATGAAAACAAATTTTGATTATGTGTCCATTTTCATTTAGACAATTTAATTATAAAAACTCATTATTGATCCAAAAATTTAGTGATTATTGATCATTTAGAAATTGTGATTGTAGAATGTGGAAGTTATGTTTAAGGTTAGAAGTCTGTATGAAAATATAAAAAAAAATATTTGATATGGAATTAATATTTCAAAAACACATATCTGAACTCGCTAAATTATCCGTATTATATTGTGCAAGCAAAAATTGGCAAAAAGTCAGCTACCACCAACCAATAAAAATTTCAACTATAAGTGTAACTGTGGTAATATTATATATATATACCGGGGTATATATACCACATATATATA